TTTTCACAATTTCTGTTTCTTTTCACTTTTCACTATTCACTTTTCACCATACAACAACCCTCATTGGATGATTGGTTAAGATTTTATATATTCGGCATTTTCAAAAGTTAGACACTTTTTCTTTTGCACTAATATGATGAAATGAACACACGTTATGGCTTTTTCGTATCTGAATTAAAAATATACTATAATGACAATGTAAAAAATTACGTAACAAAACTTGGCGTAGTTTTTTTAAAGAAAAAATTGCGTTAAATAAAGGCATAATTCTTAATATTAAGTGGGTCTTGGTAATGTTCGATGCATGCAATAATTATTGTCTATTACGATTGGTGGTAGTTTATTATTGTGGTTAGTTTTTCGAGGCATTCAGGAACGTGATCACATTATCATATAAACAAGTATTAATGCTTGCACTGGCTAAATATGCAGATAGTACCTGGCCATTTCTTCAGCTGCAAGCCCTTCTGCTTTTCGTCTTTGCAAAGTTGTTTGCTCCTCCTACGCAAATCTATTCCTATCGGACAGTGAAATTTGGCTTTTGTCTACCATTACGCGCTAATATACCATTGTGAGATCTTGATCGAACTCTCTTTCCTACATTATTTGACACTTTGTTGCAATTGTAGGCAAGACCAATTAAAAAGAACGCAGTACCGAGGACTACCTTAACAATTTTCGCTTTCTTCCATGCGCAACGCGATGCTTGAGATGTTTACGATTGCAATCATGTGAGATTATGCTTTCGAACTATTAAACTGTGAGACGAGTTGTCACAACCATTACGAAAAGTACACATTTGAGCCATTACAATTAACAGATGGTTCGAGGTGTGACGATCGCCTTTGTGTTATTAAATTTTGTAACGTTGCCCGGTGAGACATCAATACAGTCCACGGCGACGATAAGTTTGTCAAAGTTATCATCATTACTCATGTTACTATATTTTATTGACATTGAAAGTTACCAAACATGCAAGCCCATTGCATTTATTGGAGGCGGTGTTGTTGGGTTGGAGTCGAGAGAATAAGTGTCTCGGTAATATTTGCCGGTTTTAAGGATACCAAGTTTGAAAATCAATTACATCTTTTTCTAAACATTTGAATAATTCTTAGTTATGGCATATTTGCTGGATATATAAATTCTATTCTTTCAGATTCACGCTAAAGCATATTTTTGTCTTCAGCACTTATAAGAACAAATGCTCCTTTTTTGCCAGCTATATCTCACTTTTACTCTCATCAGCTAATCACCCACCAGATTAACGGACATGTGCTATTTACATTCTTGTTTCTACTACAACCTTATTATGCAAACAATAAGAAATCTTCCACCTTATTTGGCAAGAGCTCTTCATCAACTTGCCCGCTTATCAGCTAATGAGAGTTATAATGAGTGTGATAATCACGACCCTAAAGTTACACCAACTACTACTTGTAGTCATTCGCGCGTTATTTACATGACATTTATGTGATGCTTTATTTTATAGATCGGTTTGTTATAATAACTTCTACAAAAAGTGTAAAAGATAGATAATCAATTATTCTTGGGACCCAATAATATTCAACTTTGTGATGGAATGGTTACTAATTACCGGTACAAGTGAATATGCTGTAACAATTTCTTATATTACATGACTCTTATCATGTGAATTTCCTAACTCTGCTCTTAGGCTACAGAAGGGGGTATGTGACTGTAGTTTGGTGTTCATAGAGACTTTGCCCACATAGCAATGCTTTTGGTACTACTGTTTATGTCCAAACTGATTGATACTGTATTATTCATAATCACAATATCTTCTGAGCAGCAAGGGCCTTTGGGCCTGCTGTAACTCTTGCCAACTCAGTCAGAGATAATTTAGAACCTTGATCGCGGGATGGAATGATTCATTATTAAAATCTATCCCAAAACATAAACCGTGAGTTAGAAAGGCAACTCACGCGCACATGATTTCATGATGGTTTGAATGCTGACACCAACAACATGAATGTAAGCTGATCTTCTATAAATGGTCATGCCACGATGCAAACGCGATTCATGGTTGTAATTGTAACAACGATAATAAGCATAATTCGATCATCATCAGATCTGGTGAAGCAAGTGTGATCTGACTATTACATGAATGAACGACGCATGAATAACAAACCAGTTGTACTAGGAATGACGACAGATGTGATCCCATTGTCGTGGTCTTGTCGTATTTTTAATTACTGAGATGGTTATAGTCCTACTACGTGCTAGTCTCGATAGAACAACTGTCATAAGCAGGTTAAACTTTATTTCTCGATTAACGACGTTTCTGTCGCCATGTGGCTGGGGATCAATTGGGCGTAAAGTTCCGCGTGACCTTCATATCCACTGCGTAAGTATAAATAATCTCGTACAGAGTGAGATGGGGTATCAATTAAACAAGGGACTTGGTAATATACCCTGAAAACTAGCGACCCTCATTAGTTAATATGTTGTGCTACATCAATACTATTCAATGCTATTCGTTATTTACATGCAAGCCGACGGATAAAGCCTCATTCAATGCTGTCATCTTTGTTGTGTCTTGTGACAAATATGTTACATTACCCAATTAGGCTTATCAGCAAAAGAAGGCAGTTTTTTTGTGCAGCTACTCGCTTGGATGATGTTACTATTTATGAGAAGATAAGAAGCTTGTACTAGAAAGAAAAAAAAATAGCGTGGGATGACAGAAAAAAAGCTTAAGGGAAACCTTGAAGATGGTTCATGGTTCGTTGTCTTTATTATTACCAATACATTTTTGCCCTTCTTCTTTTGTTTTAATTTTCTCCGAGAGACAATTTCGTTGTTCGTTGTGTGCCCACATGGCATAACAATGATGAGGAAAAAAAATTACCGCAATTCATGGGGCATATTTACGGTTACTTCATCGCCATAACACTTGCTTGAGTGGGGGAGGCTCAGTTACCGCTGAATGCTAGATATGTCCTGTAGGCAAATTAATTATTCGTTATCGGCAATCTGCAATCGATAAGACGAATTGAGTGATTGAACACTCCATTATGATATTATGTAATATAATGCAAGGGGATATGTTGCGTATGATACAACCAAGATGCAGCGTACATTTATGGCAAAAAGACTGGCATAGATAACACGCCATGGCGTTTATTATTCTCGTATACGCATACATCGTATCAGACATTGCCAGGAAATTTGATGCGTGCGTGGTCTCGTTTTTTATCACTACTGACTGTCAATTGTTATTAACTAATTCTTATTATGACTATTATTAGCTTATTATATAATTATATTAGCACTATTCAATTAACCTGTCAAAATGATCTGCCTCGTGTATGTGTAACCGATCACAGAGTTTTTTCGTTTGTGTTCATTGAAAAAATTTTTTCGAGTGCCGTTTGTTCGGTGGGATTGGATCGGGAGGGGAGGCGGGGGGTTTGAATATTTTACGGTTTCGGCAGCTGAAAACAATGACGGCGTTGAACATGGTGTAGACAGGGAAATTGAAAAGGTGGGAAGAAGGGCAAAGGTGGACTAGACTATCGAGGTATGTAGGAGCGAGAACAGCAAGTGCAAGTGGGCGATGGCGTTGTAATCTAACGGAATGCAGTTTCAAAGCGCTTATCTGTATAGAGTTTTACTTGATTCATTATGTTATTTATTTGTTACTTGCTAGACATTACCAGTATCTTTAATATATTTGTTTGTTTACCAAAGACAATGACATTTTGGTTCTGTTCGTTGTGTACGTACATACATACATACATACCGCCGATAACAAAATCGAAAGTTTCGTAAGCTTCACCCGTGGTTGTCACAACATAAACTTTACAAGCCACCATTTTCGCACGTTATCAATAATAATTGACCGAATGTATAACATGCAAACATATTGTAATCTGTCACACATCACGCACCCAAAATAGCGTTCGTAACGATCTCAACTGGTGCAAAAAAAAACGCCTTGTTAACTATATCAGACACTTTTCACAATGAAATAATCCATAATAGGACTATCACCTCAGTTTCCGCGCTGTTATCATGTTGGGCATGTTGGGAGGGTAAGAGTAAAGAAGCATAGACGTGGAAAAAAACGGTCGGCGGTTTTCGTCGATTGTACATGATTGAATGGTTGGATGGATGAATGAATTTATATGATAAATGATAAATGGATGTGTATATGTATGTATGTATGAATGTATGTATGTATGTATGTATGTATGTATGTATGTATTATTGCATGGGTGGATGGGATATGTATGTATTTATTTATGTATGGATATTGAGTTGATGGCATCTTTTCTTGCCTTTCTTTGTTCCTTGATAACATCTTTGTACAGTGTGTATGATGCATAATTTATACTACGTGGCATATAAATAAATCACAGTTATCACATGTTCGTACCAACTGCTGATCTTGCATCTTTACGGTTTTTTTTTCCTCGGAGACTTGCAACTTTCATTGTTTTCGTGGACTCGTAAAAAATAAAATAAATACTATCGCTTCCCTTTCTCTTTCTATCCTTTCTCTTTCTTATATACTTTACTTTGATTCTCCCACTTTTAGTTACACGAATATTACAAGCATGATGATGTAATACGCACTTGTCAAACCCCTCTTGATGTTTCTGATAAAGTATTTCACAACACGTCAGATGTTCAGATGTTAGCGCCACGCAATGCTAAGGTAGGGCTATAGTTACACAATATAAAATATTCTGTACGAAACCAAGAGAACGGCAATCATATGGTAGTTGTCGCACGAAGAGTTTGACATTTCAATAAAAATGACGAACTTTTTACCTTCAAGCTTGCAAGCAATTTCAGTTCCAACAACCAATCCCTTTTCCCCTCCAACAACCAATCCCCTTTCCCCTCCTCTTCCATCCACATTATCTGTGTCGAGAGAGAAGTACTTTTCTTTCTTGATCTCAAACCTACTCCGATATTGTCGATTTCGCTTTTTGCCCACTTACTCTCTTTTTTTCTTCCCCTTCTCCTCCTCAATTATGTCCGTTCCTATAAAAAACCTCCTCAACAGTGATTCGCATACTTTTCTTGATTCCTCTTCTCCCCCGCCATCCGAATCGTCGCCACAAACTACAACAACGTCACCCCCCTCTTCACTCAAATCGGATCGTCCTTTCAAATGCACCGTATGTGACTACGCGTTTGCTCGACTCGAACATTTGACAAGACACACGAGAATTCACACTGGCGAGAAACCGCACAAATGTCAACATAGCGGTTGCGGAAAAAAGTTCAGCAGGTCAGACGAATTGTCTCGTCACAATCGCACGCACGCGTTCAAAAAGAAGGACAAGTCCCGTGGGAAAATGCCTCAAATAACGTTCCGTCATGCGGCACTGTATATTCGGAATGCTGTACACCATAGCGGAAATAGCCGTCATACAGACTTTGAATTCATTTTTACTGAACAAACCATCCAAAGTAGCGCGGGACGAAAGAAGCACAAGTGTCCTTCCAATGGCTGCAACAGAACCTTTTGCAGACTGGGTCATCTCAGCAGACACATTGAACAAGTACACAGAAATGGCAAGTCAAAGAAGAACGCCAACAACAGTAACAATAGCAATAGCAATAGCAATAGCAATAGCAGCAGCTACAGCAACGACCACACCAACAGCAATAGCAACACGACTATAAAAAGCAAAATGACCCAAGAAAACGTTCCGCCTAGTCCCGAATTTTCCGTCAGTTCGTCAGAAGAATACGGGTCTGGTGTTGATGAAGAATTGTTTGCATCCGGCTTTGTCTTGTCCAACAACCAAAACAAGCCCAACATCAACGCCTACAATAACAACGATACCAACGACGGCGCGAACGGCTTTTACCGAAATGCTGCTTCTTATGCTTCTTTGTCTCCGTCTTACTATGACCCTTATTACAATGCGCGCGAGCGAGATTCAATGTCTTTTCAATCCCCGAGACCTCGTCCGGCACCCGTCGAATGTCGTGAAACCTATCAGCCAGTTACATCACGTGTTTACGACGTGATTATTCCTCAGAAACCATCGCGTACGTTGAGCGAAATAATGTTTAGTGCCGATCGGACATTGCCATATCCTGTAAGCAATAATAATCATAACGCCAGTGGACGACAATTCACGTGGCCAGTAGATACGACGTTTTAAACGGAGAATCATGCGAGGAATATAGATTTTGTTTTTCACGGTTATTTTTAAATTTTCACTTTTGAGGAGAACTATTTGTTTGTTTGTTTGTTTGTTGTTTGTTTGTTTGTTTTTTTTAAAAAAATTTTGATAGTGATGTTTCCTCTTAACTTTGATGACGAAAAAACAAATAATGATTACACAACAAACTAATGTAAGAAATTGAGTAGAGTTGGAGAATTTTTCCTTTTGTGGGTTATCACGTTTAGAATTCTTTTCTTCTAGGAGGAGGATAAGTCAAAGGTTTCGGAATGAACAAAACCAACGATTTTCTGTCTAAACAGTTATATGGCCGAATATATCCCCTTGACAATGTTCAATTCTTATTTCATCTTTTTTTCTTCTTTTTCATAAATAGAAGAAACATGATCCTGTTACCCATTCGAATGCTACGTTAATTAGAATTTTTTATTATCCTCTTTATAAAAATTGTCGCACCATTCTTAGCTGAATGAAAATATCGATATTTGAAAGTCAGCGTAAGATTTGCGTCATTATTAGATTACAATAATAGCGTTTCCTATGATCAAATTTTATTTTATCCTAAAACAGCAAGTTGATTTGTGTTCTTTTTCTTCTATATAACAAATTTCGTTCTTGAGCCAACAAATGCTTTCTTTACGTCTTAAAAAATTTTTATCGTAACCTAAAATTCGACAAGTTCGTCTTTTTGACCCCCTTTTCCTTTAATGTATATATAGCTTTCAGTAAAAATATGTTTAATTTCGTTATCATGTTCGTTTGTTTTCTTATAAGGCTTATTTTATTTCCCTTTTTTTTTTTATCTTTCTTTCGTCTTTTTAAAATTCAAAGCGATGACCTTTTCTATATGTGATCTGTGTTCTTTTTTTATAAATTAGTTTTTTTTTACCAAATAACCGAAAAACCATCCTTTCCTCACCATTTATAAAGCTCAACTTGCGGTTGTACAATTTGTAAGATAGAAGTTCTCTAAATATGAACAAAATATATATATATATTTCGAAATTATTTACATGCGTAAAAGAGATCTTCTGATAATATCCACTATTTAACATAAGCTATTTCTTTTTCCTTCCTTTTTTTTTTTATTTTTACTTTTTACTTTTTACAAAAATAAACAAATAAATAAAATCGACGTATTCCCGACCTTTTTAAACAGGCGACACAAAAGCAGGGGGTTTGTTCATCATCGTCTGGTTTTTGTGTATTTACCATATGCGTTTCAGATTTACACAAAGAAATGACAGTCAGCCGTTCACATGTAAGAGCGAATATATACAGAAATGAATATACAGTATGAACGTATATATTAATTAAGATATACAGTACATAAATAGCACGCGTGACATTGTACAAAATCAGGGATCGCACACAAGATATTGTCAGACCTGTCAAATAAATGACAGAGTCTTCCCAACGTAAATGGATACAATCAATGTCCCATACCCGCGAATATCAACAGATAGGAATGATGTAACAGAGATAGTATATTCGTGATATAACCAGACATGTGATTCATGTTATACGGAAGTTTATATTTGTGTATTATTTCAGTATTATTTCAGTATTATTTATTTATTTATTTATTTATTTATTTATTTATATGGGTAACCATATTTATATTATACATGCATTTACTGTATGTATAAATGTACAGTATATTCATTCTTTTCCCCATTCTCCCTCCTTTTTTCCATTTGTCGTTGTGTTATCCTACTTGTAATAGTTTCTTTGTGCATTGAAGATCCCCAGGCGCAGATGTCAATTTCATCGTGGTCAAAAGAGCAAATAAACAAGCAAATAAACAAGCAAGAGCAAAAAAACGCCTCTATTTTTTTTTTCCTTCTTAAACCGTAAAGCAAGCTGACATAAACTTTGTGATCACAAACATCGCGTTGTACACGCACGCGTTTTATAATTGGATGTCGATAAAAGTAACCGGATAATGGGATTCTGACACCCCAAATAAAACTACATATAATCTTATTTCTGGCACACGCATATTAATATTGATATTATTAATATACACATACCCCTTTACTATAAGTGTTACACACATTACATAATGTCCTCATACAGACTACATACTGCTGTACTGTTCAAAGCAGTTATATAGCAACATTCTGTGGACCCCATGTTAATCGCCTTACCACAATCTCTCTGCGTAAATGTAACACTAATCCACCTGTGTGCGCATTACATAACGAAGCTATATTGTGCCGTTCAATTGTTCGGTCGTGGGAACCGCCGAAACAATGTAATCCATTGTAGAATGATGTTGGGGTTCATTTTTCATTAATTCTATGCATATTTTTTCCCAAACCCGTTTACACAACAAATCGTATAACCCATATATGGAAAATTCGCAGTGTGGGATGATTTTAAACATTAAGGCACATGGCAATCACAATAATAAACTACCACCAATCACGAACCTGTCTTTGTCGTTTTAATTGTAATAACTCTTTTCGCTCACAGTTTAATAGTTCGAAAGCATAATCTCACATGATTGCAATCGTAAGCATCTCAAGCATCGCGTTGCGCATGGTGGCTGTTGAAGAAAGCAAAGAGGAAGGACCGTTGTTAAAGTAGTTGTGGAGAAGGAGGAGCAAACAGCTTTGCAAAAGACGAAAAGCAGAAGGCTAGGCTGGAGAAGGGCTTGCAGCCGAAGAAGTGGCCTGGTACTGTCTGCATATTCAGCCAGTGCTAGCATTAATTTGTATACCAACTTGTTTCATGCAACATTCAATAGAATACGATAATGTGATCACGTTCCTGAATGCTTACAAGTCCTTTGTACGAGGCGAAACTAGTATGTTTCGCTTCGGTAATTTGTCGGTACTGATCTACGGGCTTACAACTCCTTTAGCTGGTATGAATGGGCCTCTAGACACTCTTCACTAGTCTCTAGTAAAAAGAAACGACTTTGAGGTCATCGTTTCAACGCCGATGCCAACACGGACACCACGATGTCGTGTATTAAGGGATTAAACTTTATTGCGGCTTTTGGAATCGCCGCAGATACTGTACAGCTGTCTATGCTGTACTCACCACCAACACAACCACCAGAATTACAATAATACATATGTACTGGTCGATGATGATGGTGATGGGGGGGGGGACTTTTATTTATGGACAATAGTCTAGCTTGGAGAGAAGTTATGACAATAACAAGTGATCATTACTATTCTTATAGGTATAAGCAAAAGGCCTATATGTAAGGAGAAGATATCCTCCCAAGAGGGCAGGGAAGGCTCGTAGACCAATCATGCGTTATATGCTAACAAGACACCCTGTTCGTTATTATTATGATCCCCAGCAGACATTGAGCAGGCCCTGTACTTTTCTATTATGGATAAGTTTTACGAGGAAATGTTGACTGACGTCACTTCGTATAGTGTGAAGGCTTTCTTTGGAGGTGGCATTTAGGTTTGCATACGCAGGCTATGACGTTTCGTATTGTATTGCATAAATACACTCTTGTTGAGAACAAGATCGCAGTAAACAGTAGTAGTGTATGCGGAGAGATAATTACTTCATTAAAATTCACATGTTAAATGTCAGCAACATGTACACTGAGTATAACTTTTTCAACGCTTCTTGGGGAATCATATTGATAAAGTTTGGAATAATAATGTTCATTATCAACGTGAGTATAAGGTCGAAGCCAACGCGAACGATGGTCATATTTATTTCTAAATTGTCAATTTGGAATGTGAATTACACAATCCGTAGCATGATATACCCTTCTTAGTTATGTTTCGCCAGGATCGCATTTGACAATCTGCTTTAATTCAACTCTTTCCATGATAGGAAGCTTTAAAGTGGTCTGTCTGTGTTCAACCCTTAATATTAAGAAAAGTTTACTAGGCAACATGACAACGATACATGCTCTATTGAATTTGTTGTAATAATCTCACCGGATATTATACCTATTACTATTCATCTGACGCGTAACCAGGTCACTTAGGCAGTTGTTGCAAATAAATGGCCCAACCTAAACAAATCAAATTCTCCTTCTTTTCCACCGACCGGAAGTCTCACGAGGTGAGCGTCTAACAATTGAATTTGGACACTAATACAGTTGGTCGTTAACTTTAATTTAAATTGATCGAGTCATATTGTTGGCTAATTAACGTGGGCCGGAAACGAAACATATAACGCTCCCGCCTGCCACGATCTTTCAAACAATATTGTCAAATTCACTGATGTATCCATGTGGGGCGGTGAAATCTAGCAAATCTAGCACCGTCTTTTCCTCTAATCGCGCGGAGGTTCCCAGAATTTCACTCGATCAAAAATTCTCGAATAAGCTAAATTTATTATCCTATTAACAATCTATATCAAGTTGTGAATGTAAAACATTAGTCTCTGCTAAGCCATCACAGTATATGGAAATTATTGCGTCTAAGCTGAAACATGCCTTGGCTTCTTTGTGTTGTTATTCGATGAAACATGAGCAATCAGTCTGGTACGTTCTCATAAGATAAACAAAGAGTCAAGCCATCAGATAGTTTATTCACCAATAATCCTAAGCGTTCACAGTAAAGTAATTATTGATTATCATTATTCAACGTATAACTATTTGCATTGAAATGTTCTTTTGTCAGATAATTACCAGTTCAGCTGCAACTCCTTTTCGATGATGAACATTACTCGTCTACAGTTTGGATTTCTCTACCTTTTGTTTCTGAGTTTCGTCAGAGTATTTGCAGAATACTGGATGTAACTTGGCAGCATCAAATGAAGCGCGTTGTGGCAAAGGCGTTGAAATTGTTGTTTTTGCTAACGTTACGTGAACTCTCCTTTGTTGAGGGAATGCCTTGCCAAATGAAGCAGGATGATAGATAGAAGAATCTAATATAATACTTGATAAGTTTATGTGGAGCGAGCGAAGAACTAATTATCGTAAAAACTACGTTGTCTGAAGGTACTTACCAGCTGGTATTAACAATCTCGTATAATTCGCAAACATGTTAACTTTTTGTGTGTATGAAGCCGACATTTTAAAGGCGTAATAGTAATAAACTGCCAAAACTTATCACGTGATAATATGCGAACATTTTAGTGGACTATGGATCAAGTTCTAGTCGTTTAGACTAATTGGACCAATGCAATGCAATGCACATGATGATGGTCGAACATCATCAAATACAAAAGAGCAAACTGATGTATAACGCGACTATTGGTGGATATGCGTCGAGATTTACTTGGATTCGAGAAAGTTATTGACCGAACGAAACTTGTGCAGTTTATTTTTCAATCGTCTTAAAACGTCAAACATGGCTACATCCTCCTTACCAACTTCCTCCCAATTCACAGCATGCAATGAGAGGTATATCAAAATTTCCGACAAACAAGTTATGCTTCTATCCATACATGTGAAGCGAGAAAACCTCTCCTGGTTCAATGACACAATCTATAAGGTATAGGATCTTGTTCGTAACTCTTATCGTAATTTTTTTTTTCCCACGCCGTTCACAAGATTTATACGGTCCTCGACGCCGGATTTGTTGTTCTCCGTGTCGATGTAGGAAATAATCGCATCAATACGAAAAGTTTTACCATTGAAATTTGCAAGAGATAAAAAAAGAGGCAAAGAAGAAAAACAAGTCGCCGATGTTTACCGTTGTGGTTAGTTATTGGAGGCGCTGGCATTGATTAGAGTGTATCTGATGACTTTTTTGCAACGCAGCAAACTGTCAATTTGCTTATTATCTTAAACCAACGGAAGTAAGGCATTCCGTTCTAGAAAAGGTACGTTTGCTCTACTGATAGTTGATGTACGCACACCTTTTTTCAAAGTTTCTTTTTCTTTTGCTCGTTCTAGGATAAATCGTTCATTTCCCCAAACAACCCCACCTCGGAAGAATCTACTACGGACGACGAAGATGTAAAACCCATTCTCAACGTCATTTATACAGGATATAATGTCTTTCGTATGAGCTTAGTTGTATGCGTCGAACCGTTAGGAAAAGGTAAAGATTTTGGAGGTGTGAAGACAACGGCAGATATGAGAATTGATCACTATTTCGGTAGCGCGGGCGAGTAATATGGGATAGGTAATCGTTTTGTTTATTACAAAAGTAATCATTGATATTCCAAGTGAGAAAATTATTATAATAGTGTAAGATTTTTAAAATTGCAAGTGCAATCGACAATCAAATTTGTCTTAGCCGAAGGCTTTATTATTAAATATTTATGAATCAAGTTCTCGGTTACTTTTTCAAACATGTAATTTATGCTATATCATCTAATTCAGGAACATGTCTATTTTTAAAAACATCATGGGTCCTTCGTGACTCGGCAGCCGTTTAACCTCTTTTCGTTTAGAAATACCTTTTCCCAACACGAACTGTTGCTCAATATTTGCTGAAGCTTGCAAGGCAAGCTCAGCCTGGAGCACGACGAAAGCTCGAACCTTGCAAGACTGCATTCGTTAAACAATGACCCAAGATTAACTTGACTCGCGCTGAACGTATATCTTACGAGTCGCAAACTGAAGTTGTAACTGCTGGATGTTCATTAATTTTGAACAATTTTTTCTTGTTAGGTTTTCCCGAAAGTAAATTTCCCGCTTATGACCGTCATGAACAAGAAGTCGTAGTTCGGAAGATAATTTATCAACTTAGCTACAACGCCGATCAAAAAGAAATTAATACCATCATTGCTTATATTAGTGGTTGAAAAAACGGTAAACTCAGTGCGGACGATCCAATTCCAAGACATTAATGCTATTCAGTGAGAAATAATTAAGTGATAAACAAGCCGTTTTTTTGGTAGGAGATCCTAATCAAGCTATTTATGGTTTTCAAGGGGCTACCCCGGAATTAATTTCTTTTAGCAAAGATAAAAATTGACCTGAATATTAATTGTCACAGCTGATGCTGAAATCCGGCTGAAGCTGAAACCATGACCTTTCATTAGTTGATCAGATTTTATTCTCTAATCCCATTGGTTAGCTTCAGCTCCAGCTGGATTTCAGCATCAGCTCTCACATTAATTACCGGTCAACTAATAATATCATTAATTTAACTAATTCTTTATCCAAAAAAATCAACCTAGTTTAGTTAATAACCTCAATACCCCAAAACAAGGAGTAAAAGTAGGTTGACTTAATGGTCGATCGATACGTTCAATTGTTAGCCACATTCGTTGATTAATTCTCCGTGAGAAAATTGGATTTAGTGATATCGCTATTTTATATCGAAACAATTATCTTTCTGGCCGAATAGAACAAGAATTAATTGCCCAAAAAATTCCTTGAAATATTAGAATCTTTTAAATTTATTCAGCGAGAAGAAATTAAAGACGTGTTAGCTCTCCTAAGAAGTATTATTTACCACGATAATATTTCCTTGTTAAGAATAATAGGTCTTTAAGAAAAAATTGGGGCTCGTACCATTGAAAAAATTGAACAAAGTAGTGGAAGAGAAAGAATAGCATCTACAATCGCCTCAATAATTTTGCTACCATTACTAACTTAACCAAGGACAAATTAGCCGCTGGACAAGTAGAAAGAATTGGTCTAGAAAGTTCCCAATAATACGTCATTGATTAATATCAATTCGATTGATACAGTATTTATTCTTGGAACACGAGTTAGTTAGATCTTCCCAATACAAATGAGCGACTTCGAATCTGTGAAGCAAGAAATTATGCAGACTAAGGGAGAGATAGCTCGCCGTAAACATAACTAAGCATAAAAAATGGGAAGTTTATGGGAAGTTCACTAGATCACACTTGACTGATACGGAGGAAGATTTGCAGTCATTTTTCTTTGAGAAATGTACCTCAATACACAACATTGTCAGGATCAAGGCTTAATACAACGTATTCCTCCGTGATTTCCGCTCCGTCACACGAAAGTCTCCGATTCCGCAGCACACGAAATCTAAGTGACACAGCCGCTGATAATTGCGCAGCATTGTACGGATGTTGCCAAAACGGGCCAAAAACTTAGACAAAACGTACTAGTCCGCTTATATCCATAAACTTAGACGGATATAAATAGATTGTCCGGATATATCCAAAAGTTTAGTCAAG